GTGTAGATCAACGAGCAAAGAGTCGACTAACTATGATATTTTAAAACAGGACTAACTGAAGTACAGTGAGTTTATAAACATTTCATGGACCATTTAAATTGAATAAATTTTTACTAAATTTGAAAGTAATTTTTTTTTCTTAAACGCTGACTTAAATGAAAAATTGGTTTTTTCATTTGGTTGATAAATGTTTCAGTAAAACAACTTGAGTCATTATAAAATTGTATATTCAATAGTTCGAAAATATTTAACAATATTCATTCGTTAGTCATAAGTGACTAGTCTTTCACTATTAATTAAATATTTACATTGATTTGATTCAGAATTAGAGTGGTGTTACAAAATATGAATGTAAATATGTCTACATATAATATTCAACTACTCGAGCTTCCTTTTTGTAGTCTAACAGCTAATATTCAAATCATCGAGTCGCTAGTCATGTATTGAGAGTAATAAGTGTGTGCCACAACTTAATTTAGAAATTTTCAAGATTTAACAAAACTGATGAGAATATAAGCTGTTAATAATAGCTCCTTATAGTTTTTAAACGAAGCCTTAGTTGATTCCTCCCCTCTATACTTACTTTAAATAATTATAAATTATCCGTGGAATATTGCTAATAATCTCTGCGGAAAGCTTCATTCTTATTATTTTATTTTGAATTGCGTAGAGACTTTTAATCAGTAATAAATGGTTACTGTTCCACGACGCACCTCAACCAAGAAGATCTTGTAAACAAGGTTACCAGTTCAGAGGTATTCTTATCAGGTATATACTTGTGTTAGTGCTTTTAATATTATAGTATAATCTCCAAACTCGTAATCATTATTGAATAAGTTTTAATGACCAGTATTATACTCTCAGAAAATTTTACTAATAGTTTTTAGCTAGTTATATGAAAGTACTAATACAGTGACGCAGTGGTAGAATTGTAGTTACGTCTATCACTGAAGTTAAATAGCATTTGGCATGGTTAATACATGGTTAATACCGTTCAAGCCTCACCATTTTATTTTACTGTTGATTTCGTTAACTTTTAAGGATCGATTAACTGTTTTTCTTACACTTCATCAACATGTTTAGATGGTGTGCCGGAGTTCATCCTAGTATTTACAAAAAGACTCCTGGTCAGGACACAGGCAATGTACCAAACAGTTGTAAGTTTTAGTCTTACTCCTGCCTCATCACATCTCAATTCTTTCCTATCCCATTCCCAAATGCTGAGTGCCATGAGTAGTGAATGTAGGAGACATCTAGATGCATAACACTATAATGTGAAAAAAAACTTACATGAAAGTAAAATTGATTGACTCTAATTGTGGGAGAACAGCGTTCCATAGTTATTGAAATTAACTTAATTTCAGTTATTTTTAAGACGTAATAAAGAATTTAAACAGTTAAGGTGGATGTTCCATTTGTTCAGTTATTTAATTACATTATAATTACTCTATACATTACAAACAATTGTAAAAAAAACAATTTCAACAGAAAAAAGGTTTCTTGGTATGTGTTGCAGGCTTTGTATTTTAATACAGAGGTATTAAGAAAATAGCTTGTATTTATAACTTACGTAGGTATTGTCTCATTACTCTGTAAAAACAGCGTTTTACTTAGATAACGTGCGCGCTATTTATTACAACTATTACTGTATAAAACTACTTGTACTACGTTGCCAATAAGTCGCAATCTTGCCTTAGTTTATTTCCGCCTATCATTTAGGCCGGTTGAACTGCTTGCTACTCTTATGCGTTTTTTTATGAAGTGCAATTGATACTTCGTATCCCAGTGTAATAGGATTAGCAAAACATGAAAGTAGTTTTTTATTTATTCTGAGTTTCGAAAGAAAATTGATTGAAGTAGATAGTTATAATACAACTGGAAAAAATTAAAATAGATTACTTTACGATTTTTGGCTATGGTCCAAAAAAAAAAACCAAAAATGTTAAAAACTAATTTTTTGTGTTGAAAATTGACTCATTTAGTTAAGAAAAAAGGTTTTAGTAAGCTGATGTACAGTAAAAAGACGAAAAAAATTAGACTTAGATAAACCTGATAAGTTAAGCGGTGTCCCCCTGAATAGTGATCTTCAATGAAGTGATAAGACACCGTTCAAGAATTGTTCCTAAGCACGCGAAATTTAAATTTTGTAATTTAAAATATACATAAGCGAATGTTACAAAATTTTACGAAAACACGCAACAATCAAAAAAATAACCTTATAACCCAAAGTTAATTAAAATAAAATAAATATACATAGATTTAAGAATAGTATATGACGGCAATAGTTATTTAGTTTGAAGGATGAGAATTGTACTCTTAGATAAAATTTATGTATTCAATTATGGATTAAAAATAATCATTTTAGTACATACATTACAACGTCTTCGATTTCGATTGAAAGTCATAAAATCTTTTACAGTAAATTAAGCTTATTTTTATCAATAGTAAGTACTATAAAGTAAGTGTATGTATACATGGAATAAAATGTTGTGTACTAAATCTTAAGCACTGCTTCTAGTCATCCTGAGTTACTAACAGTACTGATTTATTAACTATTTATTGTTATGAAGATAAAATTTTTTGTGACAGGAGAAATGCTTTGCACTGTAGATTTATATATCTTTACTATCAGCATAATTACAATAGAGAAAAAAAACTAGGTCTTTTTTAGGTTAAGTGGCTAATAATTGTTTACTTGATTAAAACGATGTCGATTTTATCAACAGATATAATTATTACGCTACGCTGAAAAAATAGGCGATTATTGAACAACTAGGCTTATTTTAACCAACGATAAATAAAAATACTCTTTTTCCTACATTGATATTAGTCGAAGAACGTATTTATACAACGGTCAGCTGTTAAATACATTACGATATTATTTTTTGTAATCGGTACTTTTTAAACACCATCCAAAAAATGCGCCATCAGGAGCAGTTTTTCTCTCTACCAATCAGAAAAAAGGGGGACAGTGTCTTATCACTCCCTTGAGAATCACTACTTCTAAATTTCCCAAACAAGAACCATCAATTTTCTTAAATCTTCGAAAGTTAATAGCCAATAATTTTTGCGCTGTACTTCTTGTATCCACTACTACTCTAAAAGATTTTAGCAAAATTAGATGCATACTTTTTAAAAGCCTTAGTTTAATTCAAAAAAGCTTTTTTTATTAAAAAGGCCTTAAGAAAAATGTGACGATGTAATAAGTTTTTTTACAGGATCATCTTTTTTATGAGTTTATCAACAACTCACCAAAGTTTCAACTTATTATCTTTTGTAAAAATTGCTAAAACAATGATGTTTAACATCGGTATTTTGTGCACTTGACTGTGAAGTGCACGCGAATGGGCGAGCAGCCAACGTCAAACTGTGGAGAGTAGGTAGCTCGCCTTTTCATGCGCATCGCAAAGTGAAGCTTAAACTACTAAGACATAGAACGTTACAGCACAACAACATTCTTAAAGATTATTTACGAGAATATTTTTTTGCACTAAGCTGCGATTTTCAAAAAGTGTTTATCTCATCTTACTGAAATTGAGGGTTGTTGATGGATAGAAAAGCTACAACGTTTAAAAATTTTAGCTCTTAATTTTTAAAAGAAGAATAGTTACGAGTTTTCAAAATTTTATGTAAAATTAATGATTTCTTGTAACTTGTGGGGACATCACTAGACCAATTGGGTTCATCTACAGCTGTTCTTTTTTGTCTCTTAAGGGTGCATAAGTTAATACAAAAAATTTTTTTATCTTAGTCTGTCAATTCCCAATGTGAAAAAACAAGATTTTAATATTTTTAACATTTTTACCATTCTTTTGAATCACTACTAGAAATAGTAAGGTGCTCAATTTCAATTTTTTCTGTTTGTATAAGATTGATCAACATAAATTAGTTTATTTCTTTAAACTTAGAATTGAGAACGCCAAACAGCTAACTCTGTAATACCATTTGTTATGAATGTTTATAATTTCTTTCAAGTTACATACTCTATATTATTTATGAGAAAGCATAATTTTATTAAATTCCTTATTACTTCTGTACGTTAAAAATATTCGTATACCCAACAAGTGAAGATCAGTGGATGATACTTTTTATGAATAAAAAAATGAAAAATAAGTAAATGGAATGAATCAAAGACTTATTGAAAATTATAATATTTATTTTTGCAAATCACTAATTTGCTTAGCCTCTTACTTTTTTTGTACTTAAAAAAAAATTTTTTAAATTGCATTTACATTTTATGCACACTTAAAGGCTTAGGCTAAAAATTCTGCTATACTGCATGTTTGGGCTCATTATTCTGCATGCAACCACTCGTATTTTTTTGTAGCGTAATGCATCTGCAACATGACGTAGACTTCGTAAGTAACGAGAGATATAGATAATAGATGTATAACGATCCCTTCTTTACTGATAAATGTTACCCAACTGGTACCAAGTTCTTTCTTTTTTCTGCTGTTTTCCTTACACCTTGACTATAACATGTGTGAGATTGGAGCCAGTAAGTCCTTCAAGACACATGACACTTCGTTCTACATCTTCAATTCAAAGGGTTCTACTTCTTCTTAAAAAGTTCACATTATGCAAACTATGCTTTATTAATCAGATGCAGTAACAAAATTTTTTGTTTAAGACAGTAAACAAACATTTTAACACATTGTTTTAACTTTATTTCATTGTATTTGAAATGAATAGTTTAAGAAACTGTTGTACGAATTAGTGTCGTAAAACTATTGGGTGAAATATTGTAAATGTACTGTATTTTATTAGAAAAAATTATCATTTGCCAGAAAAAAATTAAATTTTTCTAAAATATTTTATTCTAACAACTGAAACAACACAATCTTACTTTATTTGTATAAAGTCACATACAATAATATTTAATATGAAGGCAATAAAATTCAAAGTTCTTTTTTTGGACAACATAATATTTAAATATTGCACAAGCAGTATTCAAATTAGTTGTAGAAGACGATTATTTTATACTGTAAAGATATATTTTTTCATCCTCGTAATCTTAATAGAAGTATCTCATTTTTACGGCACTCATAAGTCAGTTGTTTAACAGAAGCTATGTATTTTCGTTGTTGTTCTAATGAAAAGAGAAGATGTTGATTTAAAATGTTTCGACGACTTTTTTCTTCCAACAGTTTACCTTCTATCTATAACAATAAGTATGTAACTTTATGCTAACGTTTGTATGAAACTTTTGTATTCATAGTTAAAATAACATACTTTGAGTTTATTTTTCTGGACTTCATTGACAATAACTTTAAGTTGTTGAATAAATTGCTCCTTTCCAGTGTTGGACGTCATGGCTCTGTAAAAAACATGAATTGTTAACTTAAGAATGCGAGAACAGTTGTAGGTATTGATATGACTAAAACAATGGTCTAATGATTCTAAATTTTTTTTTTGTGACTGTCAATAAGTGAGCTACATTTAAAAATACTTTTGCAAGCGTAGTGTCCATAATTGTATCTATCATTTTTGTCACTATTTTACCAATTATGATTGTTAGTATTAATATGTTTGTTTTATTTTATTTACCACTTTAGCTCATTGCTCACAAAAGTCAAAGTGGCCATCGACTAAACCAATACCAGCAGTGTTTTAGACAAAACCGTAAAACAGAAAAATAAAAAATTTAGAAATAATAGTTGTTTCTTAAATCTGAAAAAATCTAAACAACTCATTAGGATCTATTATTTCTACCCTACTTTAGCTTTCAGTAGTAGTTTTTATTATAAGAGCGCTGTCATCTCGAAGGTTATTTTGCAGCCCAAAGGATCTGTAAAGCAGAGCTGTCAATCTGTAGATCTTTTTTTTTCGTAAAAAAACAGAGACAACCTAATACAGAATATAATTACAGGTGTGTAGAAGTGTATTAAGCTAAACTCAACAACTTATGAAAAGGAGTTTTGGTATATCAAAAAATAAATTTCAAAAACTTCACGATTGACAAAATTTGCATGTTAAAGAATCCGTTAAGACTATTTTAGCATGTTGTATACTGTACAACGTTTGTTTAAAAAATGAAAATTAAGTGAAAGTCCTAATAACTTGGAGTGATACGGAGTGTGAAAATGATGATTTTTCAAATGTACATCAAGTAACTGCTATTGAAAAAAGACAAGTAATGTAAGAAGAACTACGGAACAGCTGTAATATTTAATATAAAATAATGTTAAGAATTTCTTATTTATAATATGTCAGACAAGGCTATTTCTCATGAAAATAGTTTTGAAAAGATAAATTTGTAATTCTGATAACATCAGAATGTAAAGTAAAAATCTTTTTGAAATGTGGAGAGGGTGTGGCTCGGAACGATATCAATCAAAACTTAGAGTGACTGGCATCAAGGTAGATGCTGTCGAAATTTTTCAGACGCTTTTTGTGAAGTTTCTGATGTTGTGATCATGTCTTAAATGCTGCATGTACGCTTTGAGAACTCGAAAACTTAAAAATACATCCAAACGCTGAGACTACCTTAGTTATCGAGTTTTATAAAAGTTTTTTGGACAATATTTACAAACTCTTTCTCTCAACTAAAAAAGAGCAAATCAAATTAGGTATAAACATGTTTAAATCCAAAACAGTACTATGTTTAGAAAAAGATCGTTTAAATAAAATAGCTATACATGTATAGCAGGATAGACTTATTTTAAATAGAAGGCAGTCGTCGAGTCACGCATCTGAATGCAATCTTAATACGTGACGATTACTACCATATAGCACGCTTGTTAACTGACTGCAGGATCAATGTATTAAGTAATTCTGATACTTGGCTTACTCCAGATTGTAGGCTTAACGTTTTATGATATCCTAGAATACAACCTTGTGCAAAATGTTAGAGTTGCTTTCCAGAACAGGAACTCGAAGGTATACACAGGAGAATGACAGTGTTTTATCACAGCTTTACACCATGGATTTGGATGTTTCTATTTCGATTTTTCGTGTATTAGTTACACAAGTATTAGACTTACATGGGCTTTTTAGAACTAGAAGCATCCACTAGGAACTTGCACCATTAACGAGGCATAAAATCAAGGCCAAATGCAAGAAACGTGATAATGTATATTTGAGAGCTGAGAGATTGTGGGAACTCTAAGACATAATAAAATACAGAGAACTGCGAAAGAAGATCGAAACTGATAAAAGAAACGCTTGAAATAATTCCGCCAGAGATAAATCGACCAGAGAGAAATGAATGTAAATACTTGAAAATTATGAGTCATTTCAGAATTTCTGCTTGCAAGATATAGTCACCCTCATGACAGTATTATTAGCACCTACATATCCGGATTACTGTTTTTCAGCACCAAACTTCCTTTATGCCTTTGGATTTATACTAGTGGATTCAGTTCAGGCATTCTAGTTTGCTTATGCGTTTTGCAAACTTATCTAAGGGTCGTAGCAATAATAACGTATCTCTAGGATATTTCTCTGGTGCTTTTCCGACTATTGCGGTGTATTTCCTGCATGTCTTTTACTTGTCTATATCTGAATTTATGTACTTTTTCATGAGGGAACTTTTTATTACAGTGTCCTTTTCTAAGGTTGCTAAGCCAATGAATGCCCAAAAAAACACGTCCAGTAGCAAACCTCCTCCACATGGCTAAGGTTTTAAAGTATATTACTACTCAACAGATGTAAGATTACTTAAAAGCACCGTTTACTTCATCGTTACAATCTGGTTTGAGACAAAGCTATAGCACCCAATCAGCTCTAATCAAAAAATTAGACGATATTTATTTTGATGTTAATCAGGGGCTGGTGACGCTTTAAGTATGTTTTAATTTTTTTTTTTTTTTTTATGCGTTTAACACTATTAGTCGTGTGGCTCTGCTATATTTATTAGTAGCTTTTAACTTTTCAGCCAATGCTACTAAATTGATTTACTCGTATTTGAATGATAAAAGTCAGACGGCTTTGGCACTGGATGGTACATTGTCTGATTCGCCTCCTGTATCGTCAGGTATAGCCCAATACTATTTTGAATGCTTATTAACTCAGTGTAGTATATGATGCGTATCTCTAGGGCAATGTTTTTTGCTGACAATCTTTCATTATATAGTTTATATCCAGCGTAGGCCAGCTAATTTGGACTTGGAAATAAATCAGATTATACTTTGATATTCGGTCTGAGGTAGAATAGTTAAAGGCGTATGGTTCCTGTTAAACGACGAAAAAATTCATGGTATACTTTTTGCTTTGGTACAATAGCACCAACATTTGGATAAAAAACCACTTTATTTGAAATCATGTGATTCAATTTTCTCAAATGGTAAATAGTTACACTTTGACTATTGCTGTCTTGTTTATGCTGATGTGTACTTTAATTCTATAACATTGTATCGTACATTAGCTATTAGGAGACCAGCACATCTAAAATATTTTTTTAATTCAACTGGTAATTTACTTAGAACCCAGAGAAATATGGTGTCAGGGCCTTATAACCAAGCGGTTCCTACCAAAGCAATGAATAGTCTTTTACTGGGTCAACAATTGTATTTTAGGAGAAACTTACGTTTTATATCAAAACATTAAATACACTTTTAATATTTCAGAAATCGTACTGTGTATGTTTGTTTGTAAGCAAATAATTGTAAGGAACTAAAAAGTTTTGAAATTATTATTTAAGCTGTAAATTATATTATTTTGTTAGATAAGTTAAAGTTCACCGCAGAAAGTTTCCAGCAGGACTACACAGTACTATTGCTTTTGATAAATGGTTCATAAATACGTAAACCCATGTAATATGTAATTATAATTGTTTCTATGCTGACTTTACATGTAATTTCAAATCATTTAATATAATCTTACATGCATTGCGAATATACCCTAGCGCTAAAATAACAAGATGTACGTCTATGTGGACGACATTTCAGTCAGCACGTCTAAACAATGCTCCTGGTATACAGTCCTGCTAAATACACATTTCGTTACTGTCTTGAACTGTTACAGTTTTTGAAAACTAGTTGTAAATAAGGCAAAAAATATAGCTTGGCTCGTTTCCTAGAAAAAGCGGAAAAACGAAAGAGCTCCTACGACTAAACGTTAAGAGATAACAAGAAAAAAGTAAATTATTTTCAATTATTTATTTATTATATGAAATTACAAACTATGAATAATTAAGCCTGTAAACAATGTTATTTACTTAACTACTTTTTATAACTACTTTTCACCATTTTTTCCTGCAAAATCGTTTATAATATCGTCATAGCTAAAATTTCTTAATAAACCGTTTCCTATATTCATTAGCGATGGACTATTAAGTTAATTTTGTTCCATAAACGCTTTTAATCGATTTTGAATTAATTTGATTTTTTTTAATGGGCATCTTTTTCATATAATTTGTCGTCATCACAACTAAACAAATTTTTAGCTTTATATATACATATTTGCGCGAGGTGGATGTCAAAATCCTAAATTAATTCGTCGAAAGATTTAAGGAAATTTATTAATTCGTGTTGAATATGCGAAAAAAATATTGGGTTTTGCACGAGATTTGGGGATTGTCTCAGATGAAAAACAATTTTTTTTACAGATTGCTAGTTATTTTGATAGATCGGTCAGACAGGCAATAATGTGCGACAAAGACTGTACAGTTGAAAATTTATTAAATTTACTAGCCGATTTTGACGCTGATGATAAACGCACGCACTATAATGCCTCGCGCTTAGATAAAGTTCGTGACACTCAAAACATCATATTCACAGTCAGCACAATCAACTCCACAGGTGGCGCAGAGAAATTTTGTATCCAATCACAATAGTCCTAATGCGCAAAAATCGGAAATCTTTCAAACGCCACAGTCTCAAAACCAAAATCAACGTCCGCGGAAATCGAATCAAATTTCATTTTATTCTCCTGATAAAACCAATACTAGTTCAAGACAAGATCAGACCGATCAAAGAAATTTGCCTCATCAAAACAACTGAAGTATTAATTTTGAACACACACCGATGAAGCCGGATATAAAATGTTAGGAGATTTAGTAATGGACGAAAAAACAAAAAACGTGGAAGAGTTGTGCTAGATAGTTGGGCGGATATTATTCGGAAACTTACCTTATTATTTGCAAATAACACGAATCGATATGGAATGGGAATGGGTTTTATACCGCTACAAATGAACACTCTTGCATAAAAAGTTGAATGAAAAGTCCGTGAAAATTAACAAACGAAAGAAATCGATAGTATACAAGAATCACCAACAGTATGCTAATAAGAAATTATTTATATTATATACAATTGCAGTGAACGGTTATAATATGATTTTCACAACACCTAGTTCTATTGACCCAAGAAGTTGCCT